AAATGGATCAATAAATGTAATGCAATTCTTATCAAAATCCCAACAAGGTTTTTTTTAGACAAGGACAAGCTTTTTCTCAGCTTGTGTGTGGAAGGAAGGGACCTAACATAGCTAAATCACTTTGAAAAAGAAGAACTAAGTGAAGAAATTGACTCTACCTTGTGTTTGAGTACACAGCTGCAGCGATCACCATGATATGGCATTAGCTGAGGTATAGAACAGACCACGGAACAGAATAGAGAACATGGGGATAGACTCATATAGATGTGTTCAAGTGAATTTTTTTTTTTGTACCAGGAATTGAACTCACAACCTCATGCTTGCCAGGCAGACACTGTGCTGCTGAGCTATATCCCCAGGCTGCAAGTGAATTTTTGACAATTCATAAGAAATTAAGTCCACACATGGTGTTGGAACAATGGGACATCCAGAGGCCGAATTACGAGCATTGCTCAAAATGGATCAAAGACCAAATTTGTAAAACTGTAAAAAACTAAGAAGGAAATGTGGGAGAAACTCTTCAGAACTTGAGGTTAAACAGATGTTAGAAATTAAATTTCAAACAAGATCCCCACAAGGAAAACTTGATAAAGTATAACATCTTCATTAAAATTAAGAATTTTTCCTTGTCAAAAAACTTCGTTAAAAGGATGAAAAGGCAAGCTATAGGGAGAACATATTAACAAACCTCATATCTAACAAAGATTTGGACCTAGAATAAAAAAACTACCAAAGCCCAACGGGAAAAACTCTAAGCAATCTAATTAGAAAATATGCCAAAGACACAGACATTTCACTGCAGAGGATGGATAGAGGACGCAGGTGCAGAGATGCTCTAAAGTCACGAGATATTAGAGACTCAGGAGTAAAGCACAAGGAGATACTGCTGACCACCAACTGGAAGGTCTACGATGAAGAAACCCTAATACAAAGCAGTGGAAAAGATGCAGAGAAGCTGGAGGATTCAGGCACTGCCGGAAGAACGTAAAGTAACAGTTATTCTTGGAAACAGCTTAGTGGTTTCTTATAAAGGTAAACATGCACTTACCATGTGACCTAGCAATTGCACTCCTGGGCATTTATCCCAGAAAAATGATCCCTTAGGTCCACACAAAAGTTTACATGTGAACTTTCGTAGCACGTTAGTCACAAGAACACCAAATTGGAAATAACCTAGATGTCCTTCCATGAATGGTTACATGAACCACAGTCTGCCCTAAGCCACTGAGTATTACTCAGCAAAAATGAACACCCACTGACTGACGTGTGGGGAATTATGCAGAATGAAAAAAATCAACCTCAAAACATTACCTACCATATGATTTCATTTATATGATATTCTCAAAATAACAAAATCAGAGAGATGAATAACAGAGTCGTGGTTCCCAGGAATGGGGACAGGAGTACTGGAGAGGAAGACAAGATGCAGGAGTTCTGTCTGGCTGTAAAACGGGGACCCAGGGAGCCTTGCGGTGATGGAACATTTCTGTCTTGATTATACAAATCCATATCCCCACACAAGAGAGGACATGGAAACTGTAACTGTGAGTAGGTTCGAGGAACTCGAATAACGGTGACTTTCTAGTTGTGAGACTGCACTACAGTTTTGCTGGAGGAAACTCAAAAGATATCCCAGTCCTTTCTGCATTTCTTAAACAACTCCTTTTAGCTGTAATTCAAATACCGTATAATTCATCCATTTAAAATGTATGACTCAATGGCTTTTAATTTGTGCAAAGCAGTAGAACTACTGCCACATTTAATTTTAGGACATTTTCATCACATTAAGAATAACTCCTATACCTTTTAGCTCTCAGTACTCTATCATCTGTATCACGCCAGACCACAGAGTAATCACCAACCTACTTCCTGACTCTACAGATTTGCCTATTGAGGACACAGCATATAAACAGAACGATATACTACGTATTCTTTTGTGACTAGCACCTTGCACTGAGTATAATGTTTACAGAGTGGATCCATGTTGTAGATATACCAGTATACACTTCAGTCCATTTTATGACTAGTATTGCTTTGTGTGGACAGGCCATAATTGATCCACTCATCAGCGGATAGATATTCATGCTGGTTTTGCAGTTTGGCTAAAGGCTATTGTAAATATTCATGTACAAAATTTTCAATTCTCTTTCACATAAACGCCTATGAATAAAATTCTAGGTATCTCTGTGTCTGAATAAGCAATACGCTGCTCTCTAAAATGGCTACACTATTTAACTTTCCCATCAGGAATGTATGAGGGTTTCAATTTCTCTATATCCTCAACAGTACTCACTAGTACCTGACATTTTGATTGTGTATAATTTTTACAACTTCCTATGTAATGTATAATTATTTCAAAATAGAAAGTCTGAATATGGATCAGTAAATCTTGTAAGATCAACAATCATACCAAAAATAATAATTCTGTTCCTTCTTTCCTCAGGTAATGATTTTGGTTTTATTTTTATATCTTAAGTGCAATTCTTCGGATGTCCAAAACCACGTGACAGTGACAAGACATGGAGGCCACATTTGTTTCGATCCCAATTATTAGAGATTTCTCTCCAGCATTTTTTGTTAAGCATGGTATTGATGATAGGTTTCAAACAGATACTCTACCACGATGAGCAAATTCACTTGTATTCTAGAGTCGTAATGAAGTCTTTCTAAGGAGAGGTTGAATTTTATCAGCATCTTTATAGAAAATGATTGTAGGATGCTATCTTATTAAACCGACTGATGTGATTTTCAAGGTTCATTAATTCATAACACTGACTCCTTTCTGAATTCTCAGTTGTACTTCTTTTAAAACAAGGCCAACCCTGGTCAAATATATTTATTAGAGAGAATTATAAAATCAAATGGCATAATAGATGGGATCATTAACCAGAAAGCAATTAAAACAAGCAATTTGGCATGGACACTGTAGAAAATCACAGTAATATTAATATGAAATTATACAGTCATATTTAATATATAAAATACAGTATATATACAATACACATGTGATATATAAATTCTATCCATATTTGCTATGCATACACATAATTTCACAGTAACTTATATAAATAAAACTTGTCCTTGTCACCTTTCTTGACTCCCCTCTTCAAAGAGATGTAATTTAACGAAAAAGAGGACGAAAGCGGGATGGAGCGTGAAAGGGAAAAGTAAAAGGGGAAGAAGAGGAAGAGGAAGGAAGGAAATTTCTATCACTTTCTCGTTTCCCCTTAAGTAAGTTTACGAAAGCAGGTCTGACCAAATGTGTGAGCCTCCGCTGTAACCAGGGGCTCTATGCTGTCCCTTTAATGGTCCCGTTGACCCCCAATGGATTTTTCTCAGGTGCTAACCTGTCTTTGGAAAACGAGTTTACATTCTCTTCGATGCTAAGAGGCACACCACGTTTCAGCACATCGCTGGAAACCACCTCTACACAACGACTAGTGTTAGTGGAAGATGATGTGAACTGAGCGTCAGAGATGAACTTCATGCTCAAGAAAACAGGCGGAAATTGGTGGACATCATAAAGAACTGTTAATCTTTGTCTCGTGAGGTGCTGGAACTCAGCAGTGACTACTGGTCCCCCTTCATTAACAATGAATGGAAAGCACCCCTCCTACACGGGCAGATCTTCTCTCCTGTGCAGGAGGGAGCTGGGGAGGAGGCAGATGTCACCTCTCAAGCAGGGTCACTCCAGGTGAGGCAGGACAGCCACTTGGAACAGTCTGTCAATCACAGAGCCCTGAGTTCAAGTCTTGGCTCCGTCTATCAGTGGCAGCCTTACAGGCCTGGATGAGTCAGGGGATCCCTTGGGGCCTCTCTTTCCTCCTCCACAAACAGAAAGTAAAAGCAGTCGCTCTTCCACTGAGTTGCTGATAGATCTGACTAAGAAATGCCTGGTATAAAACTGTTCACTTAATATTACTTTTATTGGTGATATTGCTAAATGAAGTCAGTGTTACCTAGACGGTAATGTGGTATTTTTTAAAAATCCATTTAAAGTTTAAAACTTCCACACGGTGTAGAAACTTCTTAAAAACAAAGCGATTGACATGGCCTCCCTAACTTGGGAAGGGTTCCCGAGTTGTCCGGTGTACGCCTGGGCTGGTCTGGCTGGAGGAACTAATGCGCATGAGCATGTGCCATGGGGAAGCATGACTTCCGCATTCTCCTTCCTGAAAGGAAGCTGCTTGCGCCAGTGTGGAAAGGGATTAAGAGAAGCACCTTCGAGGGCAGCGGGCTCTGCCTTCCCACTCCAGTCCCAGACAGCCGCTACAGTGCACTCGGGTCCATCTCTATTTCCTATATGCAAATGAGATCCCACCACAGGGAGGAGCTTTCTCCGTGGCCAATGGCCAGAGGCAGAAGGCCTGCAGTCATCGTAACAGGAAGAGGAAATCAGTCACACCTAACAGCTGCAGGCCTAATATCGAGGATTTAAGGTCAGGAAAAGCAAAGGGGGACTAAAGCCAATGCGCAAAGTTGTCACACAACAGAAAGGACACCCTGCGTGGGCATGCCTAAGCTTGTTCACAAGGTGAATTTCAAAGACACACCTCTTTACTTCTAGTAGGAAGACAAACTTTAATTCCCAAGAAAAGAGACATAAAGGTCACCAAAATCCCACAACCTGTGTGTCTCAAGGGACACAAATTACTATACTGGTGACATCAGTTTGGTTTGGTCTGCAGTTGTCAACAATCTTCACTTAGTCCAGAGGTTCTGGATGCCCCTGAGCAGGCCACTGTCAGGGGACATCAAAATATGCAGTGAGCTCCCTCCTTCATGACTCTGTAGCAGCGACAGTGACGTAAGCCAGGGCACAGCTGCCCGGAGGCCCAGGCAGCCCGCCGGGCTTACTCATCTCCGGGCCATAGTGCAACTCGGGTTACCACTGGCCACTACATTTGCACACATGACAAACCAAGCTTACAGCAAATGTAGTACTGAATGCAAAAAGAGGGCAGCACAAGTAAATGCCTTCGCCGCCCTGCCCAGCTCACCTTCACTAGGAAGAAGGACACACCGTATGTCCGCAGGGACCGGGCCAGCTTCACATACTTGACCTTGGCTTCTATTTCACTCATCTCTCCACAGTTCTTATGCTCCTGCAAAAGTGACAACAGGGGTGCCTGTTACTACAACTCTGCCAGCAGGTGGACGTGGGGGAGAGGCGGTCACTGCAGGCGGGGTGCACAGGGGCTATGAGTACAGTAAGTCATACTCGTGTCTGAAATTTCTCTGGGACACAGACATCTGAAGACTGAGGAACACAGCAAGCAGAAAGTTCAAGTACACAGCCTTCAGATTAGAGCTAGAATCCAAGCAGTCTACGTATTTCATAACCAAGTGCAATAATTCACACACATGAAGCGTGGCAGACCAGGGACAATAACTGCAATCAGATTTTCAAAGGACTCCATGTCCCAAAAACGTTCAGCTCCCACACTTTAAATAAACATGGAGAAGTGTTCTTCTAAGGAGAGCTATCATTTTAACATCTACCCAAATTGTAACTTTTCCAAACAGTGAATATATTGGATAAAATGTTATGTAACACATGAAATTTATCTTTTTCTTTTTCCATTTCAAGATCAAAGACTTTGATCTCTTGGACTTCCTAGTGTTTCACGGTAAAGTTGATGATACCCCTGTTCTTAATGATTGCCTAGACTGGATAAGTCCCTGACTTTTAAAATAGCTCTGAACTGCTCCCCAATTTTAGCTTCAAAAAAACACATCTCAGGAATAAAGAGCTCCGTGTAGCTTTTCCCTCGGTGTGGTTTAATGGTCGATCACCTTGTTTCAGTGCTACCGGGAAAATGCCTTGGAAATGAAATGTATGCACGTTTTTCTCAGAAGGGCTAAGTAACCTTTAGCAAGAAAATATGGATTAAGATAATAAATCTGTCCAAAGTGGAACTGTCAGCTCCTTTACTCGTGAGTCCCCAATCATTTATTATATAAGAACACATGCACAGGGTGCAAAGCCATCAGTGCGGAGGGCCCTTGTGCTAATAAATGAGGACAGGGAGTGAGCAGAATAATAAATGTCTGTACATTTCCGATACCTGAAATATTCTCTTTTCAGCTCCTCTCTGCTTGATGTATTCTTTGGGCAGGAATTCCTTTAGACTGAGAAAGAGACAGAAAGAAAAAAGGTAGGCATTTATCACGTTCTGTGGTGAGAAGCAAAGAAAAGAGACTGTTAATAAAACCCCCAGTTAAGTCACTAACACGCTGATATTTTACGGTGTAATTAATAACAGGCTATAATGTCCTGCAATGCACTTAGGTAAGGACACGTTCAAACCAGTCAGATTTTAAAAAGGTGAAACTAACTCATTTCAAAGAATTTCTAGGATGTACCATTAAGAGAAGAAAAGCCCGAGAGTGTAAGGAAAGGAGGGAAAGGCCTTGTTTTTTAAAATGATTATTCTATATTTTCTACATGTTTTTTTGTAAAGTAGTAAGAGGATAACTGCTGCAGGAATGGAAATGGTTCTCCAGTGGAAGAAGGGAAAAACAAGAGCATTTCTTGTGTTAGAGTTTTCATTCGGCAAGCACATGAAATTACGAAAGACCAATAGTTGTGTCGTGCTGACATTGTTACTACAAGGAAAGTAATTATTTTATATAACTTTGGAAAACACTTTTTGATTATACATCTTTAAGGGAATATATCTTAAGAATAAACTGTGCTACGGAAGGCATATAAGTAAAACTATTGGTATCAATATTTTAAAAACAATACCTCTTTTCTGTCCTTTCTCTACAAATGCACACACTGTAAAATTAGGTTACTAGATTACGTACAGATGGGATGCTACGTGTAACTAGGATAATGTAAAGGAGTAATTATTTTCACTGTTAGGAATCAAGATTTTCAGTATAAATTAGATAAAAATAAATATGCAGCAAAAATACTTCATTAAAAATGTTGTAATCTTTCATCTGCGTTGGAATTATCGGCCTGGGTACCAGACTCACTTCTCTTTCATTCATAAAACATTTTACAGCTGTGTCCCTGGTAGAAGCCAGGAGCAAAGACAGCCTGCGGGCACCCGCCCCCTCCAGTACAGCAGCCAGGCAGTCCTGAAACACCATTTTCACTAAAAAGAATCACAGCACCTGAGAGAAATGACTCAATCTAAGTCTAGAGCAGAAAAAGTATTCGTTATTCCTGGGACCTCCTGCATCTTAGCTCAAGAAAGCTGAAAAGATGACACTAGAGCCAATATCAAGGGATTTCCACTGTCCAGAAATGAGATGATTTTTAACTCTGTATGTAAAACAAGAGAACAATAAAATGAACTATTCACTGCGCTTCCTCAACGATCGACTCTTGGCCAATCACGTTAATCTACTTCCTGGCTCACAACCTGCCGTGGATTATTCTGAGGTAACCTCCAAACATCATACAAACCACTACTTCACAACTCTTAATTAACTCTGAAGAAAATAACTGATAGATCAAAGCAAATTCTAGTGACTGCTTAAAACCATACAATGATAAGTTGATGGGGAACGTTATAACAGATAGGCTGTTTTGCAACACCTAAAACCACTGATCAATTTTAATGTTAATGAAAGTAGGAAACCAGACAAGAGATGCCTCCTCACTGATCCAAGAGGAGAACATAGCATCACCTAGGAATTATTTCTGGCAATCAAGAATAAGTATATAAGGCTGGGCATGGTGGCGCACGCCTGTGATCCCAGCACTCAGGAGGCTGAGGCAGGAGGATCCTTGCAAGTTCAAGACCAGCCTGGGCTACAAAGTGAGCTCCAGGCCAGCCTGAACTGCATAGCGAGACCCTGTCTCGAAAAAACCAGGGGCTGGGGATTTAGCTCAGCGGCAGAGCGCCTGCCTGGCAAGCGTGAGGTCGTGAGTTCGATTTCCAGTACTGGGAAAAAGAAAAAGTACATATATAGGGCTGGGGATCTAGCTCAGTGGCACAAGTCCTGAGTTCGATTCCCAGTATCAAAAAAACAAAGTACATATATAATTGAACCAGAATTTAGTTAAATTCCTGGATCTAAATACTAGTTAGCTAAATGGGATATATGACTATGTTCAATAATATCATCAGGACATAATTAGCCAAAGAGAAACATGAAAAAAGCTATAAAAATAGCCTACATTTTTCAGAAATGACTGGTTTGGTAGACATGGTTAAAAAAAAGTACATAGTAATGTACTATGAGATTTCACAAGTATATTTACTATAAGGTTACAGTAACGAAGAATAAAATACTATACTGATTTTAGAATAGACATATAGGTCAATGGAATAAAATTCAGAGAAATTAACACTCATTCTCATGGTCAATTGATTTTGAACAAATGTTCTAAGACAACTCAGTAAATATAATTTTTTTTTCTTTGTTTTAAACAAATGTTTCTGGATATGTGGCAGACTCTGGGAGGCTGAGGCAGGAGGACTGCAAGTTTGAACCCAGTATGGGCAACTTAGTAAGATCTTGCAAAATAACAACAATAATAATAATGGCTAGGGATGTAGCTCAGTGTGAAGGCCCTGGGTTCAATTCCCAGTATTATAAAACAAACAATAAATAAAATTTTAAAAATGGTGCTAGGACAACTAGATATATCTACAGACATAAGAAAGAAGATGGACACTACACATTGTACATTAAAATTAATTCAATATGGATGACAAACTGCAATGTAATGCAAGTAATTATCACTGTAAAATATAGCGACATTTACAGAAATAACCACAGCTAAAACTACAAATCTTTCAGAAGAAAATAAAGTAGTAAATCTTTATGACCTTGGTTTAGGCAGAGACTTTTTAAATACAATAATAAAATCATACACAGCAAAAAAAAAAAAAAAAGAAAGAAAAAAGGTGGAGATCAAAATTACAAACTTTTTTTTGTCTTTTTGAGACACGGTTTTACTAGGCAGTTCAAGCTGGCCTTAAACTCACATTGTAGTCCAGGCTGGCCTCAAACTCAGTGATCCTCCTGTCTCAGCCTCCAGAGCGCTGGGATTACAGGCATGTATCACCGCATCTAGCTAAAAATTACAAACTTTTGAACTGCAAGTGATACCATAAAGAAAGTGAAAATACAGTCCACAGAATGGGAGAAAATATCTGCAAGTTATGTATCTGATAAGTAAATTTAGAATACATAAAAACCCTTATTGGTAGGTAATAAAGAGACAAATTTCTCAGCTGAAAAATAGCCAGAGGATTCTGAACAGACATTTTTCTAAAGGAGATATACAAGCAGCAAATACACATATGAAAATATTTTCAATGTTGATCACCATCAGGGCTAGGCAAAAAAAACCACAGCACAATTCTGCCACGCACAGACAACCAAAAACACGGCTAATTCTAAGTGTTGACAAGGTCAGGGAGAGTGTGGAACCTCAGATGCTGCTGGTGGGAGTACAAACTGGTGCAGTTGCTGTCACACAGCATTTGGTAGTTCCCTAATGCATCAAAGCAAGTCAACTTCTTCATACGTACATACACACAGAAAAACGAAGCCGATCCACACAAAAGCTTGTACACACACATGTACAGCAGCATTATCCCTGGCAGCCAAAAGGCGGAAATAACTCAGATGTCTATCAGTTGAGGAGTGGATAAATAAAATGTGGTTTATCTCTCCAATGGAAAATTATCCAACAGGCAAAAAGAATGAAGTACTGATACACGCCACAACATGGGCAGGCTATGCTAAGGTCAAAGAAGCCAGTCATAAGACAAGCTGTATGATTCCACCGATGTAAAACCCTGAGAGTAGGTAGATCTATAGACAGAGGATTACGGGTTTGCCCAGGCTGAAGACAGTAGTGGTGGGTGGGGTGTGGGGCGAGACTGATAAAGGATAAGAGTGTGGTGATGGGTGAACAAGTCTATGACTATATTAAAAACACCAATTTGCATAGCTTAGGGCAAATGCTTTTAAATATGAACTATACCTCAATAAGGGTCTTAATAAAACAACCCCCAGTTACCCAAATATAACGTGTAGGCCTTATTGGGATTCTGATACAAAGCAAGTACAAAATGCTTTTGAGACAACTGGGAAAGAGCTAACACAGACTAGGTATTAGATGATATTAAAGGATTATTGTTAATTTTATTGGGAGTTAGGATGGATTTGCCATGTGAATGCTTAATTATTTAAAAATTTTAACTCTGAGATTATTAGATTGTCCATTGTTAGAGAAAGACCGAACTACTTACAGAAGAACTGAGAACTCTTTATATTTATTATTATTATCATTATCATTATTGTTAGACAGAGTCTCACTATGTATTCTAGGCTGGCCTCCAACTCTCACCAGTCCTGCGTCAGCCTCCTGAGTGCTGGGATTACAGGCCTGTGCCGCCTGGCTTCAGAATGCCTTTTGAATGCTCAAGCCAAAGAAGAGGGAGGCAGGGCAGGCTCTGTGAAGACTGGAAGAGTGACGTCTCATCACTCTGGAAAGTAACTCGGTTGGCAAGAGTGGTTAAGCTGGTTTTAGGGGTGAGGGTCTGAGCAGTAGCAGAATATTTAGGGCCTCCTCATGAGGTCCCACTTCACACTAAATCAGCAGAAACACTGAAGCAGGAGCAGCTTATACCTTAGGACCATCACTGAACAACCTCATGGGCAAAAATGAGAGAGAACAAAATGGCTCAGGTAAGAGGAGTCACTGACACGAAGACTTCGCTGAGGCCACAGGGCTGTGGGTGGCAGAGAGCTCGTGACTGTGCTGCCAGGGGCGCACTTCACAGGACAAAGAAGAGCCCTGTGAGCCCTCTCTGCAGTGTGCAAGGGTGCAGTGGCTCCAAAGCCATTCACAGAGAGACCTGCCTACGGGTGGCAAAAGCATCCAAAAAGGCTTCACATCAAACTCACTCAGAACAATGACAGCTACTAGACTCCCAGCGTCCTGTACTCCAGCAGGGGGAGACTAGGTTGGACATCTGCGGGAATAAAGTCCTGGGCTGCACTGAGCTCTCTCCACTCAGCTCTGCAGGACCAGCCCACAAGAGTTCTGCAGGGGAGACGAAGACAACTCCAAAACAACAGAGGCGCTAGCCCGATGCCTCTACAGTTGATTTGGGGTGAGTTTAAAGAACTTTACAACAGGAAGTGCACAC